CCAAACGGAATGAAGAACGTGTCACATATCTCCAAAGTATCAAAAAAAAAAAAAAAAAAAAAAAACAAAGGAACGAAGGAACCTAACTGGGTTTGGCAAAGTTTGAGAGAGAGAGAGAGAGAGAGAAAACTACATTGTCGACCGCCCGTTAGAGCAACCTTAGACTTTAGCGAAAGCGTAATCAAAAGTATGTTAATCGTGTACTTAAAAAAAAAAAAAAAAAAAAAAAAAAAAAAAAAAAAACAGATTACCCGAGTTTTGCATAAAATTACTATTCACGTACTGATTTACATATGTATTCGTACATTAAGAAGAAACTAAGGATAGATCCAAATAGAGAAGTAAGATTTATTAAAGAGGGATCTCCTTCGTCCGTTTGACGATTTCACATCTGCGGCAGCAACTTTGCGCGTTCGTTGATTACTTCGATTCGACTCGCGACGAATTATTATAAGCAAACACGTAAAAGACAAGAAATAAACGAACAATCTGCATAAATAAACGTTTGATCTGCGAGAAGAGAAAGCCGGTGTTATTCGCCCCCTCTCGGAACTGAAACACGAAAAACGAAAAACTAGGCAGAACGACGACCTGTCTCTCGAAAATCTAGTTTCCTAGATTTTCCAAATCTCTAAGGGGAAAAGGGAACGCAATATAATTTTTCCTCACTTGGAGAACGCCGATATTGTTTTCTTTCTTCTTGAGGGAAGAAAAATTTTAAAGCAATTTGTCGTCCGTAGACTCCGCGACGAGACTTTGAAAAAAAACACAGAGTTTGCCGAGTTTTCGCGAATTTATTCACCTTTCAAACATGAAGTTGTCGATCTCGAGGAATGATCGAAGGATCGAGTTGGTCAGTGTATCCACCTTTCATCAACTCGAGACACCGATTCATCATCCAATTGAAGATTGCAAACGTTCTCGACGTTCCAACAGGCGTTTCTTAACATTTGGATAATTTTCGTCTGACGTGGATTAATTTGCATCGCGATCGGTTAGATCAGATTCAAAGACTGCTACTTTCGCCCAAGTAGAATCACTTTGATTATTTATTTTCTTGTTTTCACACTGAATTCTGCCTAGAGAGAGATTGTAATCGTTGCAAATCTTCCAAAAAAACTGCAACGTTGTTTTAGATTTTTACATCCAATCGTTCTTTCTCCGAGTGAGAAGCAAATTCTACTGTACTCCGTCGAGCAGCGGAAAAGAATTAAATTAAGAAGAAAAATCACGTGTCCGGAAACGAAGTCGTTTCATTTCGTGAACCGACTACTCGTTGGTAATACTTGTCTGCATCTGCGAATCTAACGAATCGCTTCTCCCAATTTCTCACGATTTTTTTCTCTCTTGTAGAAGAAAGTAATAAATCGATAAATATATAAAAGTATCCTGTTAGGTCGCGTGTTTCTTAACACGTTCCGTGCCATGTGTACCAGCGGTGGTACACGTTGAACCAACTTGATCTTCAGGCCACGCGTACCACAAGTGGTAGACGATGTGATAGCTAGCTCTAAACAAGACAACTACTTGTCGATTGATGATATAATATCACACAATCTTTAGTTAAAATATCAAATGGCCTGAACGACAAGAAAAGGCAAAAAATGGCTTGCCACGGAACGTGTGTTAAAGAAACAAGGTTTTTTCATTGAAATGTGCTGGATAAGCGTAGATCCCTCCTATATTATAAAATTATCACTCAGATCAGATACCTGTATCTCTGTGCAACAACCTGCAAACTCGGTCCTCGAAAGAACAAGAACAGAAGAAGAAAGAAAGAAACAGCGTTGACGTTGGACGAAACTATTAAATTTTGCTCTGTTTTGCGTTGCCAGTTTTTACCTCTCGCCACTTTATTCTCATTTACTCGCAAGTTCACTTCGCTTCGGAGTCGAGAAATCAAGTTTCAGTCAGCCGAAGCAAGTGGCGATGAAGAAATCACGTGCGAGAACAGAATCGTACAGAATACAGATGAAATGTCAACGTGTTTCCTAGAAGTCTGATCCATCCGGTAGCGAGACGAGATGTCGTCTGTTTGAGGTGATGACGGTGGGAAACGCCTACGTACACTCGTGTGTTATCTACAAAATACTTTAATCAA